GAGTAAGAATTCACAATCATGTGCCACATAAGGTCATTTCCCTCAACGATGGACAGCATATACAATGGTGATTCTATAAGAGTATAATGGAGCTGAAAAGTTCCTGTTTACTAGTGACATTATAGCCTTCGTGACATTGAAGCACAACACATTACTCGTGTATACAAACAGAGCACATACAATTAGGTACATAATACCTGATAATAAATGACTGTTACAGGCTTATGTATGTAATATTCTGTATGTTTTGGCATTATTTTAGAGTGTACTCTTTCTACTTATTAAAAAAAAGTTTAAGTTTCCTGTAAAACTGTGCCGTGTAATGCTGGCAGCAGCCTCATGCGTTTCATGTTTACTGCCTCTCTTACTGCATTTTCTCTTGTCCGTGATTTAATCCCATGTTGCATTATACAGTAACATGGTGCACTGGCTTGAAGCTCCACAGCAGTAGGCTGTACTATCAAGCCTAGGTGTGTAGTCTAGACCATCTAGGTTTGTGTAAGTGTCTATGATGTTCACACGATGAGAAAATCTCCTCATGACACACTTCTCAGAGCATATTGCCATCCTTAAGTGGGGCATGATAGTACTGTTAAAAGTTAGGTACAGCCCTGACCGGTTTGGCTCAGTGGATAGAGCGTCGGCCTGTGGACCAAAGGGTCCCGGGTTCGATTCCAGTCAAGGGCATGTACCTTGGTTGCGGGCATATCCCCAGTGGGGGGTGTGCAGGAGGCAGCTGGTCGATGTTCCTCTCTCATCGATGTTTCTAACTCTCTATCCCTCTCTCTTCCTCGCTGTAAAAAATCAATAAAATATATTTCTTTAAAAAGAAAGTTAGGTGCATACTCACTAATTCCACTCTTTAAGAACTTTACACACCAATTACCTACCTAACCATTTAAAACCCCAGCAAACTAGGAAAAGCTGTGTGTTACCCACAAAACCCAAAAATGACATTTCTCATAACCTACCAAGCAATGTTCTATTTTATAAAAATGTTAAGGACTTCTCCAAGGTCAGGAAAGAAAATATAAGAGTTAGTGTATTGCAAAATTAAACCCCAACTCCCCAAACTTTAAGCAGAGCTTCGCTAGAAGCAAGGGGGATCACAATGAACCCCTCTCCACTCTTTTCTTTCCTAGTCCTCTTTCTACTCTCCAGATGGATCAGGAACAGGCCAGCTCTTGGTTAGAAAAACAGAAGCTGCTGTTAGGTCCACAGGTGGAGCTACTTCATATCTACTGGCTCCCCAACCCACCCCCACTCCCAGAGAGGAAACTGAAGGGACTGCTTGTGAGGGCAGAAGACAGGAAATCTGGACAGCCAGCCAGCTTCTAGTCCAAGCCTGTGTCCTTCAGTCAGGGCTCAAGGGGGCATCCTACCAGGTTCTGTGCCAATGGTGGTGTCACTTCCACCAGGAACTAAGTTACTGCCTAGCAGATTTAGGCACCAAAAGGGCTGATCAGAGAACGTGGTGAGAGTGGAATCCGGAGCATGTAGGTCCCCATGAGTGACCGGGTTTTTTCGACTGAAGTGGGAGAAGGGGCTCTCCCAACACCACAGGTTAGGTAGGAAAGAGATTCAAAGCAATCCCTTTAGGTCCAATGTCTCTCCCAAGGGAATAAGGAAGCTTGGTTTCATACAATGCTTTGAATTCCTCAAATGAAAGCCGTTCTGCTGAAAACAAAAGCAGCTTCCTTCCTACACCCACACCCCAACTGATTTATAGTCAGCAAGTGTCTCCTGCTACTCAGAAAATAGGCTATCAAACAGGAAATGAAAAAATATCCATTTCTTTCAGAAGGAAGGGGAGGAAACACATCCATATGGAGACAGGAAATCAGCTGATCAGGGTCCAAGCTCAGGGAAATGACTGTCCCCTTCTCAAGGCAGGGGCTGTGCAAAGCCTCGTCCTCTCAGGCTTCAGCTGCTCCCTAAGCAAGAATTTCCAAGCCTGGGCCATCCTGTTACAGATATTTATTAGTTTAAAGGGGAAAATAAAGGCACCTTATCCACTGCCACCAACCAAAAGCACATCTTCATAAACTACCTATTTTTTTGCTCATGGAGAAAAGGAGAAGAGCAAAAAGTAATGTTTGCACAATACTCAGAGAAACCTCAAGGGACATTTGCCAACAGCTACAGGTGACCCCAATATTTAGAGTCTGCATCCACCCAATCTGAGGTTGTGGCTGGGTGTGGGATACAACCCAGAGAAGAGGTGGAGGCTTTCTTGTTTGCCAACAGCAATCATCATAATACCAGCTTTACGTTTCTACAGTGCCTGGCTAACAGGGGCTCAAAGCTTTCTTTCCCTTCCCCCCAACCTAATCCTGAGGCCCTCCCTTTGCTGAACCCCTCCATTCGAGAGGGATAGGAAGGTAGTTGGTGCTACAAAAAGGTCACGGCAACTAGAAGCCTTGTCCAAGGTCATGAGATAATCAGATGGAACTAACACAATTTCCAAATGTTTTTCCATGTAAAGGAATAATGCAAACAACTGTTTCTCAAGAAATACTTAGGCAATAAAAATGTCTATGTCCTATCTACAAAAAGTTATTTCTTTATCCATCTCTCCTTTTTCTTCTTTTTACTATCTCCCAACTCCAAAATGCTAAACATGCATTTTTGCCTATAGTTAATGCATTTAAAGTTTCCCTCCAAGCATAAAAAATGCGGAGACAAAGAAACAGGACAAAAATGTCAGAAATGGAGGATATAGAGTTAAGAACCACACTTTTAAGGTCTTTCAATAATTTTCTAGAAACTGCCGATAAACTTAATGAGATCTACAAGAAATCTAATGAGACCCTTGATGTGATAAAGAACCAACTAGAAATTAAGCATACACTAACTGAA